CCATCTTTGTGTGTGTGGCAGGGGCATCTTTGTGTGTGGGGGGGGGGCATCTTTGTGTGCAAGCGTCCATGTTTACTTGTGAGCAGTCACCGTTATATGAATGTTTGAAATTTGAATATGAAGTTTTACTAGTTTTTAAACGTTCGCGAAGAACAACGAACATTCGTTTTCTACTGACCCGGGCCCTCTTCTTCTGGCTTTAATTGATCTTTGATTTTCTGTTCCCCAGGGCATGGACTCGGTGAACGAGCGACGGGTGTTCGAGCTTGTCGTGCAAACGGCGTGTCGTACGAATACGTCACAGTACTTCCTGCTCACGCCGAAGGTAGGGTCACGCCACAATTAAAATATCTTTGTTTGCCTTAAAAGCTTGGGTAGGGTTAGGCTTATTTTTTTTGAGGGGGGTCTTTTTACAAATTCAGCATGGTTGAATTATGTCAGTCATTATGTTGAATGTTTGTTTTGCTTGGTACATATAATGTATTGCTTACAGATTTATATAATGTACAGTGATACAATTTGTAAAAAAAAAAAAGAATGGGAAAGATCAATAAAAAATTTTGAGTCTGCCCCTTTTTGGCGGGTCGGTTGGTTGAGGGCAAACAAACAATCTTTTTATTATGGCCTCAAGCGCGGTCCCGTCTTCGCGTCCCATCCTAATGTTCATATACCTGTCCCTAGCTCTGCCCATGTAGCCCTTCACTCTCTCTATAACACTATACACACTCAGTTCGTGCTCGCCGTAGCTCTATCTGTGTAGCTCTTCGCTCCCGCTACAGAGCTATATAAACCCACAGTTCACGTTCACTATAGCTCTATCTGTGTAGCCCTTCCTTCTCGCTACAGAGCTATAATAAACCCACAGTTCAACTTCACGCTCAACGTAACTCTACCTGTGTAACCCTTCCCTCCCATTACAGCACTATAATAAACCCACAGTTCACGCTCACCGTAACTCTACCTATGTAACCCTACTCTCCCATTACAGCACTATAATATACCCACAGTTCACGCTCACCGTAACTCTACCTGTGTAACCCTTCCCTCCCATTACAGCACTATAATAAACCCACAGTTCACGCTCACCGTAACTCTACCTGTGTAACCCTTCCCTCCCATTACAGCACTATACGATCCACAGTTCACGCTCACCGTAACTCTACCTGTGTAACCCTTCCCTCTAGCTATAGGGCTATACAAACCCACAGTTTACGCTGCCGTAGCTCTGCCCGTGTAACGATTAGCTCCTGCTACAGGCTTATTTTATACACGACCCACATTGCTAAGAAATGTGGCAGTGAATCTACTGTGTAGGGGGCTACATGGGTGCAGCTCTGCACGGCATTACCGATCGCGTAAGATGTTGAGTCGCTTCATAATGAAGTTAAAAATCGATGATGATATTCTTAATCGCAGGGTGTTTGCAGCTGGTGTGATCGTGCTTACAATGATGCATGCGCGTTAGTCAAGGCTGCACAGCTGCCACCAGGTGGCATTAAGTATCTCATTAGTCGGATACATTAAGTAGTGTTTATCAAACGGTTTGATTAAGTAGTGCGCGTGAACATTGTTGTTGGGTTTTAATCGGTTAACTCCTGTAAGGTGGCCTGTCGTTGCAGTTGCTACCGGTGCTGTAGTTTATAAAGTAATTTTGATAATTAGTTTGTAAGCATTGCTGTTGTGGGGTGTTTGTGCGTTAGTTTCTACGTGTCAGCATGGCGTTGTACGGGTGCTACCAGGCCTGCAGTTAAAAAAAAATGGTAATCTTATTGCGTAGTCTATTCAAGCATCGATATTGTCGGGTGTTTAGTGCGTTGTTTGACTCCTGCGTTGCAGTTGCTGCCAGACCTGGAGTATGCGAGCAACATGAACGTGATGTGCATCTACAACAGCTCGTACGGACTCTGCCACACCGAGTGGAATCTTCGCGACTTCGTACGCCAGCGCAGCATGCTGGGATAGCGTCCTGCAGGGGTCCGGCAGGGGGCAGGGTGCGCCAAATGTTGTCCGGAGTCCTGGGTTGGAGGGCTGGCCATGAGTAACTGGTTCTAGTGGGCTTTGTCAGGGGACAAGTCACGCATAACGTGTTCTAGTGTCATGTTTCAGAGGAGAACCAATGCAGAATGAATTTTATTAGTGTCCTGTGTTTGAGGGAAACCCATACAGGACGTGTTCTAGTGTCCTGTGTCAGGGGACACGCCACGCTGAGTGAGTGCTGGTGTCCTAGATGAGAGAGCAACGCACGAGAAGATCAGATCCCTAATCTACGATCCTCAAAAAGTCCAATAACTGCTCAACATTTTGGTACCTTCTGTCCTTTCTAATCAAGTTTGAATATATTCATTTGTCTTATGTGCTATTCTGATGAAAAAATTTTCCTACAAAAAAAACGTTATGCTAAAAAAGGTCTGTCTGAACCTCTGTCAACTATAGAAAGTGTGGCAGTTTCACACTGATATATTTTATGATAGCTTCCTGATAGTAGTAATGTTAGAGGTGTCTATTTTATTATAAGAATTATTTTTGAGGTATGGTTAAAAATGTATGTGAAGCTAAAGGTTTAGGAATAGTGGCTATCCATACACCTGTAAGAATGGTTGCCATCAACACACATGTAGCAAGGATGGTCATTTACACACCTGTAAGCATGGTGGCCATCCACAAACATGTAGCAAGGATGGTCATTTACACACCTGTAAGCATGGTTGCCATTCACACACCTGTAAGAATGGTGGCCATCCACACACCTGTAAGAATGGTGGCCATCCACACACCTGTAAGAATGGTGGCCATCCACAGAGCTGTAGTAATGGTGGCCATCCACACACCTGTAAGAATGGTGGCCATCACAGGCCAGATCACGATTGGGATTATGAAATTACCTGTGCAACACGTTTAAAGTGCGCGCATATATTGTTAAACTCGCTGCCGTGCTATTCCGTCCTCCGTAGATATACCACGTCACTGTGAGGTATCCAAGTGTAAAGCTTGAGATAAGCTTCACCCCTGAGCATGCCAGTGAGCATTAGCTTTGTGATTTGATAAATCTGATAGCGACATGAAGTACTGTTGGACCTTGACACAAATTTGACAGCTAATTTTAGACGAACGTTTCTAGGCGTATTTGTAATTCGAGGTGGGCTGTGAAGCTGTTTTTTTTTTTATCTTATGTAATTCATCGTTGGGACGTGGATTTATTTAGTATATCAGATACGAAATCTTTGTTATATTACAAACTATATACTGCTTTCATGAACATGTAACGTTTGTATTTAATATGCACAGCTATTGTGATTGTATGTATTTTACAAAATCTCGTTTAAGATACTGTATTTTGTACTTGTGTCTGTGTAGTAAAAGAAGTATGTGGTTCGCAATAATTTGAAAACAGTTGAACATCGGTTACGTTGTAAACATGATGTAGCCTTGTTAAATGCAAGAACATGTCATTATAACAAATTCATTCTCCGTCTTGTGTCTACTAGCTCTCTCTGGCCTGCATAACTGTCGCTTATCAACGTATATACACAGCAGATTTAGTCAAAGTACCCATTTCTTCTTTAATAATAAACAGTTCAAAAATAAAATCCCGAACACACATATATATATACATACATTTAAGCATGCACGTGTAGAATATTTGCTATTCACCTGTTTGAGTTGGGTCCCACAACTGATCAAGTTCGGTGATAAGTTGTAATTAGGCAGCTCATCGATATATATACAGAAGTTCTTTTGCTTTCCATTAAAAGCCAGTAGAATAATATATATATATATATATATATATATATGTAGAGAGAGAGAGAATTAACCCTCTTATCGCGGTTGCTGTAAAACGTTCCACGTATAGAATTGCCCGTAGTCGTGATATTTACACAGTGCTACCACATCGTCGGGTATGGCTCCCCAAACTTATAGATGCTTCGCTGTCTTATGCGTCTATGTAGCGCCCTACCCCTGCTATATGTCTAGAAATGACCCCCCAACTCGCCCATGCATTTTAGTTGTTTCTTTTTCTTTGGCATGCGTTTAGGTATTGCCTCCCCTCTTAAATCTGTCATGCATTTAGATATTGGCGTTCGCTTGCCATACATTTAGATGTTTCTGTGCCTCTGCCAGCATAAATATAGGCATTGCCTTGCATCTGACCAAGAGTAGATAATAACACATGTGTTATTATCTACTCTTGATCTGACAGACGTTTCGATATTGCGTTCCTTCTGGAATACATTGGTGCTTCGGTGCGATATATGTAAATATTGCCTTTCTTCCCTCTGCTATACGTTTGGATAGTGCCTTTCCTGTGCCATACACTTTGTTTTGCTCTCCCTCTGTCAGCTTTTAAATCTAGGCATTACATCTCGCCATACATACTCGACATCTGCCGTACGACTAGGTATGAATATGTCGTGCAAGCAGGCAATACGCCACCCCGCGTTCAAAGCCGTAGCTAGCGGGTGTAGGGGCAAGGAGTGAGCAGTAGCACCTCCCCCAGAGCAATGTTTGGAATTGTTACATGGTCAATGGCCGAACTGCTCACGGTCAACTCTCGAGCACAACTTGCGCGTGACTTCGCCCCACCGCCAGACCCCAAACCCTTGGCAATGTGAGTTAGCCACGGCACTGACGCTGCGAATCGAATGTCCGTTGAGAGTTAGTACACGGGTTAATAATGACAAATTGACATTATTAATTCCTGGTTAGTATAGTTACACTTGCAAGGTACAACTATAAATAGTAGTTGCGGTAGCAGGAGCGTCGGGGCGTCTGCCTCCCGCGTTGCTCTTGCCGATGCACATCGCGGGGAAGACGACGCTGCAGGTGATCAGCAGCAGACGCGTGCCGACGTCGAAGAACGGCAAATGATGTCCGTCGGTCGGCAGCGCGATGGAGAACAGATCGTATTGCATCGCTGGCTTCAGGATCATCATCCACGCCAGCAGCAACGTCAGCATCCGACGAGTGTCGCCGTAGACGGAGGCGCACACGCAGCTGTCCTGCTGCACCAACTCCATCTGGTGGTCATCTGTAAACAACGGACGTAGACGTTGCAGTCGGGTGCGAGGAGGCGGACAGCAGGGGTCAATCCTACTGCAGGGCCGTAGCGAGCAGGGGGCAGCTGCCCCCCCCCCGCCAAAAAATAACCCAGTGACGAATAATGAGAACTTAAAGAAAATGCTCGCTTAACCGTTTGGGGGAGTTTTAGGTATGTAACCTACCTGAAATGGCTGGAAATGGCATTTCAGGGCTTCTATATTTCAAAATTCCCCAGACCGCCCTAGAAGCGAGCGCCCCAGGCGCTCGTTCATCTTGCCCCCCCCCCACATTAATTCCTAGCTACGGCCCTGTACTGCTGTTATCATAGAAATATATAGAGACATTGAGAGATTTTTTGGCTGTTACAGTTAATTGTTGTCACATGGGCGGAGGGATGAGGTAAGATAAGGAAAGCGAGGTGAGAAAAAAGGAAACGGAATATATATATATATATATATATATATATGTATAGTGATAGAGAGGGCGAGAATATTTACAGATATGTTTGTGGTAGTGTCAGGAAAAGACAAATAGTTTGGGAAGAAAGACGCAGAAACGGTGCATAAACACTCCTATATCTTATATTTTCCCCCTGTGGTTGAACCGAACCGCAGCTACGGGACATATGGCGGGTTATCATATATACACATATATATATATATATATATATATATATATAAACTGTTAGGCTGGCTAGCGAGGTTGGTCTTACTCTTACCCGTAATTATATATACGCTATGGAGCCCAACTAGTATAATATCTCTATGGTCTTATCTGATCGAGCGCAATCTCCGCCTGGTAAGCGTAAAGTAACTCGCTTTTTGATAAGAATCGTTTTTGAATAGAACGACCTTTGCCCAGGGCCGTAGCTACCATTAGGCAATAGGAGGCAAATGCCTCCTACAAAATTTACCTCTGGCTATGGCCCTGCCTTTGCCGAACGATCGTCCGATAACGATCGTCCGATAGTTCCGAGTGGCTGATAGTTCCCGCCAAAAATCTTATCGGTTAGCGATGTCAGGTAGCTTTATAGTATCATTAACTATGCAAAACTACCGAGTACCAATGCAAACCGAGTAAAGGACTCCACATTGTCTATGCGAGTAGAAAGCAATGCGTGGTGCGAGGTAAGATGTCAGAAATTTCAAATGTGTGAAAAGTGTACGATGTAAAGTTGCTGGCACGGATGTACGCGGTTGGCATTCGAGCGCCAACACATTTGGCACGCGTGCCTGGACGCGCTCTAAACACTCGCAGCTTAATATTTTGTGTTGTTGCAACCAGGGGTCAATAATGACAAATTTGTTCACACTTGGTACAACCTAGCTGCCCCCCTCCATTTGTCATTAACTCCAAACGTGCAGCTGCCAAAAAGTTTTCGCGTGTTTTGCGGACTCGGTAAACCAGCTCTAGGTTTGTCAAATTGTCACCTCGTCAGCCTCTAGGTTTTTTATACGTACAGAGCGGTAACCATGACCTTGTCGAGCTATATGCCTCCATTGTTGCACTTCATCGCAAATCTCCCCCGCAAAGCGGCGACTAAGCGGACTACAGAGGGAGGAGGAACACGGGTCCTTTTAGATTCCTATTTCTGATTTCCTATGTCCTATTTCTGATGTGCTCAATCAGTTAGAACATGGTCGGGCAGTTGTCTGAGGCCAGGAGCAACTGGTACCCGTCTATAGGCTGTATACGCTTCCTCGCGCATACACAACCTGTTCTTCCTTTACGAGCCTTCGGCGAAAGGTCAAATCTACGCATCAACAACGCGGACATTGTCTTATTGTATCGGGATAGTCATTGTGGCGTGCAGTAAAGGGTCAATGATCTACGGCTTGTGCGAGCGTGTGTTGTGAGAAACAGCGATCTGACCCCCTATGTGCCCATCATTAAGGCATCGATCTCAATCTGCTAATCGACGACCGATCCCAATAAATCAATCCGAATTTTATGATAAATTATTCGACCTCAACAATCGATCGTAATTAAATGACAAATCATCATTCCCAATAGTCACTATATTGATCATCAATACCTCGCTCACTCATCATCGTCGTGCCATCAGTCAGTTGTCTTTTAAACGAGTTAAAACTAACTTTGTAAGTAAACAGTTGTAAGGGCCATATACTCACGTAGAAAACCGCTACAGTGCGCATTTTTAGGAAAGCTTGGAAATATATACCCCCTGGCTTTCTATGAGAAGATCGCTTACTTACGATTCCTTGTGAGTCCGTCTGTAGAGATGTGAGTGCGCGATATATGTCGTTACTACATTACTCGGTGCTACGTTTACCTCGTCATCATGTTACAATCATTATCATTATGTTACATCTATTCGATCACCATCTTACAATCATTATGACCATGTTACGTTTACTCCGTCATCATGTTACAATCATCATCGTGCTGCATCTACTCGATCATTGTATTATATCTACTCGATCATTGTGTTATAAAAGAAAATATTATCTATTCGATCAATGCGTTACAACTACTCGATCATAGTGTTACAAGCATCGTCGTGGTAAACGTGACTGCATCACTCGTATTACATATATTCTATCATCATGTTACAATCATCATCATCGTGTTATATCTACTCTATCATCATGTTACAATCATCATCATCGTGTTATATCTATTCTATCATCATGTTTAATCGTCATCATCGTGTTATATCTACTCTATCATCATGTTACAATCAGCATCATCATCGTGTTATATATCTACTCGATCATTGTGTTGCACGGATCATCGCGGTAAATGCCACTCAACGCCGACATGCCATGCCGACTGCATGCACTCGTATTACATTCACTGTGCTGTGTCAGCGATAGAGTCGCGACAGCATGTGTCATGCTCCTACTTCGTGACGATAGTCTGGGTGTCAGGTCGCTCGATCGTTGTCAAAATCAGAAATAATTATTCCCTCGGGAGTCTAAAATGTCACGATCTTTAGTCACGAAGCGTCGACAGTGCCGTAGCCTCTGGGGGGGGGGGATTAAGGGAGCAGCCGACCCTTAGATTTTGGAGCAAGATTAAAAAATAAGCTTAGCTAATAATCGTAAATAACCCTAACGTGATTTTTTTGGTCACTTGAATCCGTGAAAGCATTGTCTCAGACCCACCCCTATACTACCACACTATATGGACGTCGATCGAGAGCTGCGCCCGGCGCTCATCATTACATAGTTCAGTCATAACATTTTGCTCTTCCCCTAGGAATTTGCTCAGCCTACGACCCTGAGGTCGTGTGAAAGGTTACGACATTTTAGACTTTATTGGATTTAGACTTTTTGTGTGGATAGCATTTTAGGTACATAGACGCCAGTCGCTTGAGAACTACTGGACCGTTCGTACCTACTCTTAAGGAAAGGTATATGTATACGTATAGGAGAAAAACAAGAGGGGGGAAGAGCCGATGGATATCACTCGAGTCCGCGAGAATGGTTGTACGTGTGAACACTGTAGTGTAAAGTTGTAATAAATAGTCACCGTTCTGATACCGTGATCTGCCAGGACTCTACTATAGATTGATTTTCAGACCGTGCGAAATGTCATCGTATATGAGCGACCACGCCCTCACCAGCGACAATACAACAATAGTCGTCAACTAATCGTGATGTTTCTGACAGACGGCTCCCCCGACACCCAAACCATCCGCACCAAGGAAGCAGCACCTGCTGCCGCCCTAATCGGGGAAGGCTTCTCCTGTCTCTCCTTCTCCCCCCGGGGGGCATCACTCTCTGCTGCCTCGGGGCATCGTGACGTCGCAGTCGCTTACCTTCCGTCAGTGAGTGTTTGCCGCTCTGCGGTCGGCGCTGCTTCTTGCTGCCGACGACGATGCCGACGACGCCGACGACGCAGCAGTACGTGCCGACCGGAAGTACGAAGGCGAACCAGTTCCAGAAGTCGCTGAAGTTGTCGACGAGGCAGAACGGAAGCGTGACCGAAACTCCGGCGGTGTAGATGACGTCGCGCAGCGGCGTCGTCATGCTCACGAGGCCGTAGTCGACGACTTCCGGTACGAACCACACGCCGAGCACGACCGCGCACGTGAGCGGAAGCGACAACGATCGTCGCGCCCCCACGACGAGCTGCGACTCTGAGTACATGACGGCGAGCAGCAGCAGCAGGACGTCGGTGGAGAGTCTCGTCGCCTCGACCTCCATCCAGCAGACGTGCACGGCCGGCACGCTGTCGACGCCGACGGCGGCGCAGACGTACGCGAGCAGCGTGACGACGCTGTAGAGCTGCAGCGCCGACGCTGCGACCATGAGCAGCACACAGCGCAGGCAGAGGTCGCGCCGCCTGGAGCCCGACTCGAGCACGTACAGCGCGTAGACGTTGGCGACGAGAATGACGACGATGGCGACGATGGCTGGGTAGACGATGCCCGTCGTCGCCGTCTTGTGTATGGCGAGGTAAACGTCATAGACGACGCTGCTGTTGTTGCCGACGTCGTCGCTTAACTCTAGATCCACGTCCCCGATCGACGAGATTCTCGCTATCAGACTCCGCAGCCGGAAGTCGTCGACGTCGTCGTCGGCGGCCGATGCATCGGTTAGATACTTTGCGCCGACGCTTCTGCCGACGAGCGCCGCAGCGCCGTCTATGGCGGCGTCGTTGGCGATCACCGACGCCATGTTGTCTTCGTCCTTCGACGCCAAGCCAGCGCCGACGGTGAGAGCTCTCAGCTCTCCGTAGCCGACCATTGATCACGCGAACGCGCACGGACACGAACGCAAGCACACGCACGCACGCACACGCACGAACGCAGCGTCAGAGTGCGGCAAACACTAAGCTGTTACCTGCTTAGCAAGGTCAGTCAGCGACTACTGCTTCTGCTGCTACCTGATAGGTAATGTCAATCAGTTACTGCTGCTGCTGCTGCTGCTGCTGGCTCGCTATATCCGATCTGCGGAATACTCCACGTGGAGCTGCTGATGCCTACGGACGCAGAATGTTAATTATTTTAATGACAGCGCTCGCTCGCTAGCTAGCTGATAATGAAGCCAGGTGTCGCAGGAGGTATCTTCATTAGCGCTGTTTGCTGCAACTGCGACGAAGAGATGCAATTCTCGATGTTCGTGGCAACGACGCGTGTATGCATGCGTCGGTCGGTCGATCGGTCGGTCAGTCGTTTGGTCGGTCGGTCGGTCGGTCGGTCGGTCGGTCGGTCGGTCGGTCGGTCGGTTGCCACACCTGTCGACACTTTCTCGTAACCGTTTCGCTGTCGCAGCTCCCGCTCGTCGGCAGCGAGATTAACGACGACGACGACGACGACGAAGACGTCGACGACTGCGCGTGCGCGAAATTGTCACCTGCAGATGACGCGCGTGATGAGTGACACGAAGATATTGCTCTGAAATTCTTACTCGTTGCCTTTGCCCTCCCCCTCCCCCTCGTCGATCGATCATATTACTGACGTCACGTCGCAGCAGGCGTGCGTGCGCGTGTGATGTCTACCCGTCGCGATGCTGTCGCTAATCACAGGCTATTAGCGCAAACACGAGCAACGTATAAGCGCGCAACGCGACACGTGTACGTAGTCACGGCGTATATAGACATAACGTTCACGTCGTGACGTCATCATCAGCGCGTATTCACATCAAGGGGCCCCGTTGTCGGAAACAAGAATTAGTCTTAACGTCTTAACTTCTTCTCGTATAGACCGTTGACAGAAACGTGGTAAAATAGTTTAAATTAGTTAAGGAGGTAAAGGAGTTTCTCGTAAGTAGTGTATAGAGTTACGGTCTATGAGAAAAAGTGAATGTTGAGACTAATGTTAATTTTGTTTCTGCCAACAGGCCCCGCAGAGATAACGGTGGTACTAATACTCCGTAAGACGTCAATATAGTCATATTTGCTGAGACATCTTCATCTTTAATCTGACTAGCATGTGCCTTACGCTGAGTGTGTAAATCTATGCGTTTTCAGAGGAATCGATGAAATACGACAGGCGATCGAACTTACCTTACACCGGCACCTATAGCATTCGCCTTAGATAGCACAGCCGTTTGTACAAACGCACACACACACACAGAGAGAGAGACAGAGAGGAACGAGGATGATTTTCACGTCTACGTGTGTGTATCCTCGTGCAGTTCGCACTGGTTCCCTGCTGGTACTAGTAGGACGGCATGCGGGCTGTATATGTGTATATGTACGTCGCTAGCGATGTCAGCGCTCTCCATCTCACCTGCGCCACGTTCTATCAACACACCACAATAGTCGCGGGGAGGGGGTGCGATAATCAGGAAGTGAACAGAATTCTAGACGGACACACCTCTGGTTCGGCGCAAAGTGGGGGCCGGTAGTGGAGTGAAAGCGTGTACCGTCTACGCGCTATTGTAGCCCGAGGTTGGTCGGTATGCTCCAGTGAGCGCGGGGTGAAAGTCCTAGCTTTCTAATAGCCTTATCTAAACGGCGGTAATTAAATTTCTTCGCTCGTCTCACCGCGCGCGTTGAGCGTCTTTTAAGAAAAATACGATCCAACCGCTACATCGATACCCGAGAGATATCAACCGATTATTGCGACGCGGGTTTGTGGACCTCGATGTAACGAAGAGAAATGTAAATGATGAATGATGATGAAGTTCACTTCTCCCGCTTATTTTACGTATTATGGGAGAATTGAAAACTAATATTAGTGACATTGATCTGGTTTGATATGGAGTTTGATTATTGATGATTTGATCGCCTATTGCCATTTAAGTAGGACTATTGTATTTGTCTCACGTTTTCTTCTCCATCTCAGATCATTTTACGTATTACGAGAAAATATAAACGAACACTACATCATTGATCTGGTCTGATTATGGAGTTGATATCATTTCGCCATTCGTGAAGGGTCTATTTTACTTCTACTTTCACTTCTACGTATCAGATCATTTTACGTATTACGAGAGAAACATAAACGACCATTACCCCGTTAGCACGGATTCTCGTGAGTTATATGTGGCAACGACCTATCGCCATTACGGCATTACTATTTATTTGTTTACATTACGCACTCCCACGCGTACGCACGAGTGATGATCAATTGCGACGATAACCGCATGATACGTACGCTCTTTCCTGCAACAAGCGAAACTGAATTCTGGAGCCCGTTGTCAGAAACAAATTTAGTTTTAACATTTGTCTTAACACTAACATTTTCTCGTAGACCGTCGACAGCACTTTGTTTCGTATTGTTATGAAGAAATCTGCTACGATTTTTCATTTAGGTAACTTCGCGGCGTTTCTGTCAACGGTCTAAGAAAAAAAGTTGATGTTAAGACTAATGTTAAGACTAATTTTGTTTCTGACAACGGGCCCCTGGTTGCTATGAAGCACGTATCCCGTTTATCGCGACTCATCGTCTGTTTTATGGAGAAAACCGTGAGCTGTCTGCCTGCCTACCTGCCTGCCTGCCTGCCTGCCTTCCTGTCGATGTTTCTTAATTTTGCCAACATCGACGACAGACGACCTCGCGTGGTTATCGACGTGCGAGTATATGCACCGTGGCAGTGGTTTTACCTGAAGCTATAATGATGTCTACTGTAGATAACCTATATCGCGTTACCTTACGCGATATCTTTCATCAACCCTATATATGTACCCCCCGCACACGTTATGAGATGCTACGCGGTGTGTGTAAATTTTTCTTCGACAGCCTTCTACCGATGATGTGGTGTTCACCAAGGTGTCTCTGCATGAACGCAGCGCGTTATGTTCGGTTCCGCAGGTTCGAATGTATACGGTCTTTATTTCGAAATGTTTCGAATATATTTATTTGCGAAGGTCAGAGAATTTCACCTGTTATTTCGTATATGTGCGAGAACGAGTTCTTCATGAAAATATAGATCATGACCGTGTGGTATGTGGCGCTCTACTCTCTCTATGTCTCTCGCTTTCTTTCTTGCTCGCTCTCTCTCTCTCTCTCTCTCTCTCTCTCTCTCTCTCTCT